TCTTGACTTATATTGTGATTTAAAATGACGAAAAAGAGAAAAAATGTGTTTTTAAGTCTTTCCGTACAATTTTTTGACAATTATGTTTTATACAAACCTTGTCCTGATAATAACAAATACAACAATAAAATAATTATCAAATTTAGTGCAGTCGTTCTGAAGTTATCCGCGTACATACATTTCGGAGATTCATTTGTATTTATGTACATTAAAGAGGTGGAGTTTACGAAGAAGTAATTGTTTTTCCACCACCAAAGAGCCAACGTTACAAGAATAATCAAGTTGAATTAAAGAAGTGAAATTTAGAAACAATATCACCTGGTCGTTTTGCGCTAGTGCGTCTTCTCTTGAGTTAGGCAGTTAGGGCCGGATATTTTGGATTATTAACAGATTAAGATTTGTTTAAATTATTAATTCTATTGATAGCTTGTTGCGTGGTATTTGTCTTCTGGCCTTGAGTGCCTATTTTTCTTTCAGTGTATTTGATTGATTTGTGCCCATTAAATTTCTTTCATCTGCAAATGGTTAGTTTTGTGTTGAATCGAGCCCAAATTACGACGTAGATAACAGTTTTCATGTTACATTTTTCTATTTCATACTCAGAATTGTGTTAATTAAAAATTTGTTAATTAATTCTTTGGAATTTTGCAGTGTTTGGCTGCTGTGAAAAAAGAAGCTGGAAAAATTCTAAGATTAAAAAAAAATTTTTTAAATTTAAAAAAAGTTCACGTAATTAAAAAAATACAGACATTCCAAACACATTTTTGAATGTTTGAAAATTTTTTTAAATCTTTTTGGACCAATATTGAATTTTTTTGAATTTTTTAATGTTAAATTTTTAAAAAGAGTATTTAATATGTTATTTTTTGGAATAACATATACAAGGCGTTCTATTACAAAATGAGGTTAAGTCGAATAACTTTTTTACCTGACCGCGTATACTCATTTTGAAAACAGCACATTATGCAATATTAATTGTAATAGCCATGTCTCCGTCGCTCTTTACTAAGAAAATAAAGGGCCATTCTGAAATTGACATTTTTT